CAACACTTGATAACTCTTTGTTCCACTTGGACACTCTCCTATAATAACTCCTTGGTTTTAGGAAACCCTTCCTACTTTCACTCCTACACTTTAGGGAACCACTCCTACATTTTAGGAAACTAGGGTTCTCTTCTTCCTTTTGTTCACATTTGGCATTTCCCCTTGCTGTCGCGCCATAATCCGTCCCAAACTACCCATTTCTACGCCACTTTTTCCCTCCATCTCGTGTCTTAATTCGTGGTTACTCTTGTGGATACGTTGGTGACAACTCGTTGGACTTGAGCAACATTTCTCAACTACCCAATCCAACAGGTAAAGGTACTTGGTAAGTCTAATAGAGTGTTTTGAGTGCTATACCCGAGCGTGAGTGATACACTAAGGGAGTGAAGTGAGGATATAATTGCACTATTTTTTCTGTTACTAACCTTTTGCAGGGCATCAAGAGAGACATGGAGCAACAACAACCACCCACTACTGACTATTCATTGATGTTCACCGCCATGAAGCATGAACTCAAGCGCATTAGTGAGCAACAAATGGAGGAGTTGCACACCCGGTTTGATGAACTCTCCAAGAGTCTCACGCGAGGCTCTCGTTCTAGATCACACAACCGGAGTAGCCATGGCACCAAAGGGGCACATAGCGAGGACTACTCCGCTAGTGAGGATGAGAATCGACCCGAGAAGCCTAGAAGGGACACGTCTACGAACGCACTAAAAGGACTTAAGATTCAAGTACCCGCGTTCAAAGGCAAGAGTGATCCGGAAGCTTACTTGGAATGGGAAGCCGCATCGAGATGGTCTTCGACTTTTACGATTATAGTGAGGAACAAAAGGTGAAAGTTGCCATCGTTGAGTTCACCGACTACGCCTTAGTCTGGTAGGACCAAGTGAGGATCCAAAGGAGGAGAATGGGAGAACCACGAGTCCGGACTTGGCACGAACTCAAGGCCTTGATGCGTAAGAGATTCGTTCCAAGATATTACAACCGCGATCTCCATGCCAAACTTCAAACCCTCACTCAAGGTAACATGAGTGTGGAGGATTACTACAAGGAGATCGAGATGGACATGATGATGGCGAACCTTCAAGAAGATAATGAAGCGCCCATGGTTAGGTTTCTTAGAGGTCTCAACCCTGACCTTCAAGAAGCCTTGGAGCTCCAACATTATTTGGACATGTACGACCTTCTTGAACTCGCTATTAAGGCTGAAAGGGGAAAGAAATTAAGACGAGGAGCACGTACTTTCCAATCTTCCAACTCGTCTTCATGGAGGGGCAACCAACCACGAAGAACGACCCACGAATCTGGGAATTCGGCCACACCGACTTCTTCTAGCCGAGCTCAAGGTAATGCTCCTAACCGAAATTTCTATTCTACCCCTAACAAGGTTGCTGATGCATCCAGGTCCACCTCGAAGGCACCACATGAGACTCCTAAGACTAAGAGTAGGGACATTAAGTGCTTCAAGTGCCAAGGGTTTGGACATATACAATCCCAATATCCAAACCAACGAGTCATGTTAATCACTCACAACGGTGAAATCGTGTCTGATGACGACGATTGTGAGGAAGTACCCGAGTTGCACACCAGTAATTGCATAGAGGGTGACCCGGGTGATGAGGAATGCTCTCCTACACATGGAGAAATAGGCTGCTTGGTGGCACGACGAGTGCTAACCGCCCGAATTAAGGAGGATGAGCAACTACAACGGGAGAACTTATTTTACACCCGTTGTAAAGTAAGTGATAAGATCTGCAGTCTCATTATTGACGGTGGGAGTTGCACGAATGTGGCGAGCTTGCTTATGGTTGAGAGTCTAGGCCTTCCTACCACTAGACATCCACACCCGTACGCCTGCAATGGCTAAGTGACGAAGGTGAGGTATGAGTCTACAAACAGGTACGTATTCCTTTCTCTATTGGCAATTACGTAGATGAGGTTGTGTGTGATGTTGTGCCTATGCATGCGACACATGTCATCCTAGGGAGACCTTGGCAATTTGACAAATCCGTCACGTTTGATGGTCGAGCAAACAAATACACTCTCTTGCACAATGGCAAACGCCTGGCCCTCACACCACTCACACATGTCCAAGTGTATGAGGACTAACTTAAGTTACAAAGAGAGTGTGAACAAAACCGCCAAAAGAAGAAACAAAGGGCGGCCGACCCTGGCAAATGCTCCACTTCTACAAGTGATCATTCGACAAGGGTCAAGTGAGTACACCTGGTGACACGCATGATCATTCACCAGGTAAACCACCCACTAGGAAGCAAAACATGATCATTAAGGCTAAAAATGTTAGAAAAGTTATAAATTCTGATCAGCCTATTCTTCTCATGATTTACAAGCATGTGCTCTTAGATGTTGCTAAACTCGATAAGGCATTACCTTCGAGTATGGTTGCTCTTTTGCAGGAATTCGAGGATGTATTCCTGATGAGATCCCTGATGGCCTACCACCCATTCGAGGGATTGAGTATCAGATAGACCTGATTCCTGGAGCACCCTTACCCAACAAACCGGCTTACTGTATGGGTCCTGAGGAGACCAAGGAGTTTCAGAGGCAAGTTGATGGCCTCTTAGGTAAGGGTTGGGTAAAAAAGAGTTTAAGTCCTTGTGTTGTGCCTGTGATACTTGTCCCCAAAAAGGATGGTACTTGGCGCATGTGCACTGAGTGTAGGGCTGTAAATGCTATCACTGTCAAATATCGTCATCCCATTCCTAGACTTGATGATATGCTTGATGAATTCGATGGCTGCCATCATTTTCACCAAAATTGATTTAAGAGTGGCTACCATCAAATTAGGATGAAAGAAGACGATTAGTGGAAAACGGCCTTCAAAACCAAACACGGTCTCTATGAGTGGCTAGTCATGCCTTTTGGATTGACTAATACCCCTAGCACCTTCATGCGACTAATGAACCATGTTTTGAGAAATTTTTATTGGCAAATTTTGTCATTGTTTACTTTGATGACATTCTTATATACAGCCGCAGTGAACATGAGCATTTGGAGCATGTGAGACTAGTTCTTGAGACATTTCGACAGGCGCGTCTATACGCCTAACCTTAAGAAGTGCACCTTTTGTACTAATGAGTTTGTGTTTTTGAGCTATGTGTAAGTTCACGGTATCAAAGTGAACGAGTCCAAAATTGAGGCCATCCAACAATGGCCAACTCCTACATCCGTCCCTAAGGTGCGTAGCTTTCTTGGGTTGGCAGGCTTCTATCGGCGTTTTGTCAAAGACTTTAGCACCATCGCCGCCCCATTGACCGCCGTGACCAAGAAAAATGACAAATTCCATTGGGAGGATCCCAAAAACAAGCATTTCTTACCCTCAAAAGTAAACTCACACACGCACCTGTTTTAGCATTACCCAATTTCAACAAAACTTTTGACATCGAATGTGATGCTTCTGGTGTAGGGATTGGCACCGTCCTCATGCAAGACAAAAGGCCATGTGCCTTCTTTAACGAGAAACTGGGAGGAGTTGCCTTAAACTATCCCACGTACGACAAGGAGTTGTATGCACTGCGGTAAGGGCCTTGGCGAGACCTAGCAACACTATCTTCGCCCTCGGGAGTTCGTGATACACACCGATCATGAATCATTGAAGTATCTCAAAGGGCCAACCTAAATTAAGTAAGAGGCACGCCAAATGGGTAAGTTTCGTTGACACCTTCTCCTATGTCATTAAGTACAAGACTGACAAGACAAATGTGGTAGCCGATGCATTATCACGTAGACATTGTTTGCTTGTCTTTCTTGATGCTAAGTTGTTAGGCTTCTAAATGATTAAGGAACTCTACACACATGATCATAACTTCGGTGATATATATGTTGCATGTGTTAAGAACCCGCATGGAAAATACTTTTTTGCATGACGGATTTCTATTCTATGTGGATAAGCTGTGTGTGCCTAATTTTCCGTTCGTGATCTTTTGGTTAGGGAGGCACATAGTGGTGGTCTCATGGGCCACTTTGGCATTGTTAAGACCCTAGCCATGCTACAAGAGCACTTTTACTGGCCTCATATGCATAGAGATGTTGAATGCATGGTTGATAGATGTGTCACTTGTCATAAGGCGAAATCTAAAACAAATTCATACGGCCTGTATACTCCATTACCTATCCCTCATTATCCTTGGGTAGACTTGTCTATGGACATTGTCTTCGGAGTGCCTAGATCACCAAGGGATAATGATTCCATCTTCGTCGTGGTTGATCGATTCTCTAAGATGGCTCATTTTATCCCTTGCCACAAAACTGACGATGCATCTCATATTGCTACTTTGTTCTTCAAAGAAATTGTCCGTCTACATGGCATGCCTAAAACCATTGTTAGTGATAGAGATGTAAAGTTCTTGAATTATTTTTGGAAGACTTTGTGGGCTAAACTGGGCACTAGATTGTTATTTTCCACCACCAGTCATCCACAAAGCGATGGACAAACTGAAGTTGCCAATCGCACACTTGGTACTCTACTTCGAGCCTTGATTAAAAGAATCTTAAATCTTGGGAAGAGTGTTTGCCCTACGTAGAATTTGCCTACAATCGCACCGTTCATAGTGCTACACACTACTCACCTTTTGAGATTGTTTATGGCCTTAACCCCTTGACCCCTCTTGATTTGGTACCCTTACCTTCCTCTGAGCACACAAGCTTAGATGGGAAAAAAATTTGTCGAAACGATAGTTCATAGGAACAATCAATATTCACCATTTTCCTCTCCTAACTAATTTTGTTAATCATTTAAAAAAAAAAAACACATCCCAGTACTTATCTCCAATCACTCAACATTAGAGCCTTCTCAGGCTCAACAACCGAGTATGAGAATTAGCAATAAACAACTAAAAACAAAATCTTGATAAGTCCTCAAATTTCAAATTAGATCTAATTGTCCAACCTTTTACCAATTAGCAAAACCAAAAGACTTAAACCGGTAATAAAATGCAAATCAATAGGCTGAAGAAAGAAGGAACATAGGAGGTGACCTGAACAGATTCAGCGTGATCACCTAAGCTCCGATACTCGGGATTGGTTTGGATCCACCGGCATAGCCGACAGTCGTACGCACTACCCCATCCAAGCAGCCAAACACCGCCTCCGATCTCCAGAAGCTTCCTAGAGCAAAAACCGCTGTTTGCAGCTGTTGTTGATTGGCTGTGTCTGTAATTGAACCCTCCGATAACTGGGCGGAGAATCTGATGCCCACACATAGATCTGCTGCCAATACAATGATTATGGGTAAATAGCATGTAAGGCGCGTGGCCTCCTTCATTGGGCTGGGAGTTGAATCGTCGACGGCCAGGATAATCCGGTCGGGTCGCTGGAATTCTTTATAATGTTCGACGAAGTCGAGTCCGGTTTCTCCAAAATTCGGCTGGCTGTGATCGGGTCAATCCGATTTGATCCACAAGTCCATTATAAATATATTATCTCATTTTTCAATTTGTTGTGATTTCTCCAGTTAATGCACGAATTAATAATTCATGGTTTTCCAGTGGTATTTTTTTTTCCTTTCTCTTTTTTATGTTCAAGAGAAAATTACTAGTTACTTCACCCACCCAAAAAGTTGGGAGAATGATATCTGCTTTCTGTCAAAAAGGATTTCTTAGGCTCCAGTTACGAATCACGACAGAAAGCCTATGCAAAACCCTAAACCCAAAGTCCAGCAGAAAGCTACCAAAAATTAATTAGCAGTAACTATATACCAGTAGATCCAACACAAAGTTTCGAAAAAAAATTTTAAAAAATCGTAAACAAACGTAAAAATAGAAATGCACAATAAATTCTAAGAATTATAGCAAAAAAAAAAAGATGCATACAAGAGATTGAAATTTGTGAGATTAAAAGTAAATAAATAAATAAAAGGCGAGAAGAGAGAGATAAAATGAAGTAACCTTACCGGATAAAGAGGTAGAGAAATATATCCTCGTCGTTGGCTGCCGCCGGAAGATGCTGCGTTGCGGTTCAGCTTGGAGAACTGTGTCTTCACCTAGCGGCGAGGACAGGGAAAGTTAATAATGTGGCCGCGTACAAGTGAGATCGCTATATCAAGTTCCGGACCTCTATTTACGATTTGACCCACCCATGCTTCCTAATCCTAATGTTTTCCTAACTTTTGACTGCCTGGGCCTTGGGCCTTGGACTTTACTTGGTTAGAGACGCATTACTAATTACTAGTTACTACTTAAGCATGGGTGGACTAGTTACTAGTTACTACTAATTACTAGTAACTAGTTACTAGTTACTACTTTTAACTGCCTGGGGCCTTGGCCTTGGACTTTTAAACAATTTTCAACTAGCCCGTTACACTGCCCAAATGCTTTTATTTTTATTCCTTTTTTTTTGGTTGGAAGTAGGCGGTGCGCATCGAAATCGAAAGCGATAATTCGGAAGTTTGAAATAAAAATTTTTGAAATTTGGCTTCAGTTTTCCCGACCAAAATTCGATTTCAAAATCGCTAATCTCCAATTCGAATTCGATACCGAATTGAATTCGGAATACGGTGGATTCCGAATTCCCCGAATTCTTTTTTTTTTCCCGCCTCTATTTAAGAGGAGATTTGAAAGCCGTTCCTCCTCCAACCAAAACAGGTTGTTAACCAGAATCATTAACACCAATTTAATCCACGAACATGTCATGAACACATCTAATCATTATCTTCTATCTATTAAAGTTCAACCCTGCTGAGTGCTGAGCTTCAGAGATCTCAGAAAGAGCACAAACAAATGCCGATTGTAACTGAAAGTCATAGAACACTTCAGCACATTCACATATTCCACGACTAATCAACTTAAAAATAGGCAAACACCCTAATTTACATTGTCATATATAAATTTAGAAACGGGCAAACTGTCTTTTGACAAATTTAATGTTCGCAGCCAGAAGCATGAACAGAAAACACATACAGTGCACAAAATGTACAATGGCATCTGCCTGCTGGATGGTTTTCAAGATGTGCTTGGAAAACACATAAGTGAAAAACAGAAGTTGAAAAACAAAAGTTCAACACCTCTGTTGCACCTCTGTTGCTCCGTGTATGTCAGGGAGAAAAAGAAACAAAGAAATTAAAAAGGTCAAATAATACAATTTGTTAATTAACACTCAAAACCATTTTTTGTGCGTATTAGTACCCAAAGAACGCATTTAACTAAGAAAAAATAAGGATTGAGCATGCCATTGAAATTATTGATGAAAAAATCACTGGCGTAAGAAACATAGCTGAAAAAGGTGAGTAAAAGCACTGGCGTACCTCAAATTGTCCGACAGTCTTGAATATGAAAGCTGATGGTGTCTGTCTCTGTCGGACTTGAAGAACTGGTGTTCAATTTCAGGTGTGATGCAAATCACGAGTGAAATCTCTGAGATGAAAGAGGCGATGGAAGCGGTGAGTAGGGGTGTCGGTGAGAGAGTAAACAGAGTCGGTGAAAGAGAGTGAGAGAGAGTAAGCTTCGTCGGTGACTCGGTGAGTCAAGCGGTGACGAAGACAGTGACGAAGAGGCGATGAAGGAAGAGGCGGCGCGGCGGAAGCTCAAGGTGAGTTGAGAGAAATTAGGTTTTTGCAGATAGGGAAGCTCAATTTGTCGAAACTCGGAAGCTCGTTTTCAATTAGTAAACTTATTATGTTAAAAATTATATTATATTAATTATATATATATTTAAATATTATTATTAGAAATCGAATTCGAATTTCCTAATTCAAATATCCCAATTCGAAATCGATAATTTCGATTTCAAAATTTTTATTTTTGAATGAATTCGATCGAATTCGACGAATTCGAAAACGAAATTACCGATTTCAGTTCCGAATTACCGAAATTTCGAATTCGAAATTCGAATTCAATTCGAAATCGGTTTCGAAATCGAAATTTTTCGAGTTTGCACATCCCTAGTGGGAAGAGTTGGAATACAAAAAATGTCGAAAGAGCAAGCGATGCGATAAGTAAAAACTGATTTTTTGTCGTTATATTTGTCGTACTAATTACTACAATTAGAATTTCAGCAAGAGCACCTTTTATTTTTCATTTACTTTTCAGCTTTCTAGAATTAAGTATTTTCTTCGTTACTGTTGTTTTCTAAATAATCTTCAATACAAGTGAAAATGCTTTAATCTGACTATGAGATATTAAAAAATAATAATAATTATGGTACCCAAAAGAAAAGGATAAAATTTTATTTATTTTTGCACGTTCACATTATTAATGGCCTAGTGCCAGTAACCAGCAGGGTACCCGTAACAGTGTGTATCCACGACAGAAAAATTATAATATCCTTAAACGAATTAACTAATTAGACTATAATATCCTTTACAAAGCAGATAAAATATTGTACCAAAAAACAAAAAATCAGTCGCTCCAATTTTGAGGAAAAATGTCGTGAAATCCAAATTTGTCATAATGCTCAATCTCTCTCAAGGAATCCTTAGATCTTCTTCAAGGAAAACTAAATTAGTGGTATAATTTAACAAAAAAAAAATGTCGCGGCAGCTGAACGAAATTGAATAAATTTTCCTCCGAAAATATATGCCTCCCAGGATCTCTAAGTTCACCACCAAAAAATTTCTTCCTAAACTTCTCTGAGGATGGGCCAACCTTTTCTTAGGATGTCATTGATCTTTGGATGAATACGTTTTTGCAATCTTGGCGGACAAAGCTCTGCTGCATAACCATTTAATTTGGCTGCCAGACTTGATTTTTCCAGCTCTTCTTCAGGCAAGTTTCCCATTAGTTGAAGAAGAAATGGATTCCGTTTCAGCTCAAATTTCTGAAGATCACAAGTCAAAATTTTCATTAATGTTCCTTTCATTCTCATAAGTGCATAATGTGCCCAGTAAGAATATCGCAGAAGCCAGGAATAACTTCTAAACAAAACTAAGCAGAGGTCATCCTTCTGCACTCGTAAATTCTGCTGGACCACCTATTTCAGAATCTACAAGTTGCTACAGTGACTCCTTCCTATCCGTTCCGAATAGGAGCAAAACAAAGGAAACCTGTACTTGTAACACCAATTTTTTGCTTTTGCGATTTATACAAGTTGATGAAAGACACTAACCTGATGATCAGGCTCTGCAGGATAGAATGTTCCCAATTGCTGAATTTGAGTGGTTACAATGCCACTCTTTGACCTTGTCTGCTCTCTTTCTTTACTTACAGAAGCCAATCTTGACTCTTCAGTTCCATTTGTGAAAACGATGGATCTGCTTGGAAAGTTTCAACTAAGAAAGCCAGCATTATGACATAGAAATACAACTTCAATCCAGGTTACCAACAGTACCTGTACTGGTTACCCACATCAGGACCTTGCCAAACACCTGCCTAGAATCGTGGCTGGTCCAGAAGACCTCCAAAAGTTGTTTAAAAGTAATTAACTTAGGATCATATTCAATCTGCACAGAATCGATTTCAATATATAAAACAAGTGTAGAAATAATTGAATGTCTATTAAAGAGCATGTTTTGGTAGTTGGTAATTGCAACAGTATCTGACTTGGGAGTAAAATTCCATTTTCTCTGTAGCGAGACTAGCATGTTATCTCAAAGTGTTCATAAACTTTCATATTGCTAAACTTTTAATTTGGATGTCTTTTATGCTATGAGGCTATCATAGATTAGATTAGGCAAATGGTTTTCCACCTTTCAGCTAATTCAGGTCACAAGCAAAACTCTTGGCAGGATAAACATTACATTAGCTCCACAGTAGACTATAATAATGATCTGTTTCAAGGGCTTGAAACAGCTAACTATGTCAAGAACCCAAATCAAACGAGTGCCGACTTCATAACAAATTAAACTGCAACAATAGGTTTGTTACAAGCATTTAGTTCACAAAATGAAGTACCACTCTTCCACTCTCACTCAGTGCTGGTGGACAACTGAGAAATCCAGCTGAAAGGTAACAAGTGCAAACAAAGTTGATGGGATGACTGAAACCTATTGTTGCAAGTCCATTAGCAATACCTCATGCACGGTCATGTTACAGAATCTCCAAGGCCTTCTCTAAGCAAACAGAACGATGACGGTCAAAAACTAAGTTGCATAGACTGGCTAAAAACATTCAAGATCTTTACACTTGAATCCCCAAACATAGGAAATACTTCCAGTTTTTCTTGATTAAGACTCATTAGCAATAAAGAAGTTGACTAATTCTCCATGATCTGCCTAGAATAACGATAGTTCATAGGAACAATCAATATTCACCATTTTCCTCTCCAAACTAATTTTGTTAATCATTTAAAAAAAAAAAAACACATCCCCAGTACTTATCTCCAATCACTCAACATTAGAGCCTTCTCAGGCTCAACAACCGAGTATGAGAATTAGCAATAAACAACTAAAAACAAAATCTTGATAAGTCTCAAATTTCAAATTAGATCTAATTGTCCAACCTTTTACCAATTAGCAAAACCAAAAGACTTAAACCGGTAATAAAATGCAAATCAATAGGCTGAAGAAAGAAGGAACGTAGGAGGTGACCTGAACAGATTCAGCGTGATCACCTAAGCTCCGATACTCGGGATTGGTTTTGGATCACCGGCATAGCCGACAGTCGTACGCACTACCCATCCAAGCAGCCAAACACCGCCTCCGATCTCCAGAAGCTTCCTAGAGCAAAAACCGCTGTTTGCAGCTGTTGTTGATTGGCTGTGTCTGTAATTGAACCCTCCGATAACTGGGCGGAGAATCTGATGCCCACACATAGATTGCTGCCAATACAATGATTATGGTAAATAGCATGTAAGGCGCGTGGCCTCCTTCATTGGGCTGGGAGTTGAATCGTCGACGGCCAGGATAATCCGGTCGGTCGCTGGAATTCTTTATAATGTTCGACGAAGTCGAGTCCGGTTTCTCAAAATTCGGCTGGCTGTGATCGGGTCAATCCGATTCGTTCGATCCACAAGTCCATTATAAATATATTATCTCATTTTTCAATTTGTTGTGATTTCTCCCAGTTAATGCACGAATTAATAATTCATGGTTTTCCAGTGGTATTTTTTTTTCCTTTCTCTTTTTTATGTTCAAGAGAAAATTACTAGTTACTTCACCCACCCAAAAAGTTGGGGAGAATGATATCTGCTTTCTGTCAAAAAGGATTTCTTAGCTCCAGTTACGAATCACGACAGAAAGCCTATGCAAAACCCTAAACCCAAAGTCCAGCAGAAAGCTACAAAATTAATTAGCAGTAACTATATACCAGTAGATCCAGCACAAAGTTTCGAAAAAAAATTTTAAAAAATCGTAGACAAACGTAAAAATAGAAATGCACAATAAATTCTAAGAATTATAGCAAAAAAAAAAAAGATGCATACAAGAGATTGAAATTTGTGAGATTAAAAGTAAATAAATAAATAAAAGGCGAGAAGAGAGAGATAAAATGAAGTAACCTTACCGGATAAAGAGGTAGAGAAATATATCCTCGTCGTTGGCTGCCGCCGGAAGATGCTGCGTTGCGGTTCAGCTTGGAGAACTGTCTTCACCTAGCGGCGAGGACAGGGAAAGTTAATAATGTGGCCGCGTACAAGTGAGATCCGCTATATCAAGTTCCGGACCTCTATTTACGATTTGACCCACCCATGCTTCCTAATCCTAATCTTTTCCTAACTTTTGACTGCCTGGGGCCTTGGGCCTTGGACTTTTACTTGGTTAGAGACCATTATGAATTACTAGTTACTACTTAAGCATGGGTGGACTAGTTACTAGTTACTACTAATTACTAGTAACTAGTTACTAGTTACTACTTTTGACTGCCTGGGGCCTTGGGCCTTGGACTTTTAAACAATTTTTCTACCGCATAAGATTTTCATTTAGCTCATTCTTCTACTTGTCAAATTATGCCTCTTCAATTCCCTTTTGTGTCAGCTGAATTTCCAAAAGCAGTATAACTATCCTAATTCCTTATCAGTGAGCAATAGCTCTAACAAATTCTTAAAATTTGACGGAATAACACGACCGATCTGATTAAAAAAAATCTTCTTTTAGTATAATATGAAGGAAGCCCATCTTTTCAAGTTCAATTTCGATTAGTTCAAGTAAATTACATATTTCATGCTGAGTAAGAGCAGTAAAATACCACTGATGTCCAAGAATATATCCAAAACTTTTCGATACGGGTTGGTAGCTGCTGTAACTACGTGAGACTGTTCGAAGGAATAGCTCTAACATAAAGTACCCAAAATGTATAAAACAGTCAATAACGATTACACAAAGATTCCCATACAAATTCAGCTCTCCATCTAAACTAACTGAAGAAGCGTAATGAAAAGCTGGGAAATTCAATCAGTTTAACAACTTGAACTGAAAATCAGAAACAATCTAACCTTAAAGACGGCAACTTTATATGGTTTGGAAGCTTGAATTATGCGCAAATGGCCGAGACTTTGAGAAGACAATTATTGGGTTTAGGGCTTTGAATTGAGAGTTTGATAATATTAACGAGAGAAGTTCTCTCTTCTTTCGAAAAACCGAGAAAGCAACTATTGATGAACGAGTGATAGCCTCGTGGGAATATAAAAGTCAATCCTTTGTTACCCGTGTTAATTAATGAACTGGGCGGGTTATTTGGGCCTGGTTTTTATCCATTTGGATATGAGTT